TAATAACAAGGAATTGAGACAGTAATATATATATATGATTTATTAAAAAGAAATAAGATTGAATAGACAAATCTGGATCATGTCAAACTACGTGATACTTTTTTTGTTGTACATTGGATTGGCTAGGCTGCATCGCAAGGCGGTTTCAAAATAAGAAAAAAGAAACGAAACGAAGCGATCGTGACATTCAATTTACACGTGAAACGTACAAGATATGAATCTTTTTATGCATACAAATCGAACGAGAATTTTACGAGATAAAATCCCGACGATTAATTCCAACATGATCCTGATCTGTGTAAGACTTCATTTAATCTTGTTTCCTTCATTTTAAAGATCGGTGAACTATGCGAACGCGCCTATTTTTGTACAATTTACGAATAATTTTAGATTAAAAGGTTAAAAACATCTGGAAAACAGCAATATATGCGTTTACACAATAAGATTATATAAGTTTACTCATTTTAAAGTAAAAATAGATAATGCTCGTGATGGCTGATAATTTTATCGTTACGATTCTCGTGCATCGTTTCATCGGTTCCTTCATCAAGTTATTCTTGGAATAAATTTATATATTAGAGAATTAAATTATATACATATATATGTAACGTTGATAAATGAAATTAATCGAAAAATATATTGGAATAATTATAAATCAACTTGTAAAAAATAAAAATAAATCAAACTATATAATAAAATTTTTTATAGTATTTTCAATTGTTTAATATGCAATTCTAATCTAATTTTCCTCTTTAAATTAAACCGAGAGTACACGAGAGATAAATTACGTGCCTTCGAAACGAGATTCCATTCTCAATGATCCAACTCTATTGAGCCATCGAATTCGGCACTCTTGAGCGTTTTGATGAAATTTCAAGTCGAATCAGGTTGAAACAATGAACAACTGATGCTCATGAACTATTTCATTTCTTTCCAAAATGTTTCATTTTATCTTCTTCAGGTTACAAAATTAAAATTCAATCCTGTATATATAGAAACAATTAGAGAGATGCAAAAATATAGTAGATTGAATCATTAATATTATTTAAGGTTAGGATGGGCAAAATTTAAGTATTATTAAAGATTATATGAAAATATCAACTAAAATAAATTTTTATTCAAGCATTTTAATAAGTAATTAAATAAAGTAACTTTATTCAAAATTTTTAACTAGTTAATTTTTTTTCAACGAGTTAATTTTGATTAAGAGTGTTGCACCTCTATATATATATCATCCTCGAAGGTTCACTCAAGAGAATGACAGATTTAAGTGAATGCTTTCCAAGAATCCTGATAAATTTTTCGCTTCTCGCTATTATGTCCATCCTATGTCCAATTACGACCCAATTCAGGCCCAATTATCTTCTTCTGATCGATAATGAGAGATTTTTCTTTTTCCAGTTTTTGTCCTTTAAATAACATTTCTATTATTCATGATGATGAGAATAGGAAATAAGAGTGAATCGTAAATAATCGTAGAATAAGTGTGAATAATCGTCTTAAATTTGTTAGATTTTTGCAGAAAGTTTTGCAAAAATAAAAAATTACTATTGTTATAAAAGTCGAAATTCCAATCCAGTAATATTATGCAAAAGTATAGGTTTAATTAGAAATTTGAAGATTTGCAATTTATAAGTACATTGAAGAATAATGATAAAAGATTTGTTTGTTGATAAAATTGATAAAGTTGTAATTAGAGGCCAGAAATATTAACATTATTAATATAATACATTGAGATTTTTATCTACAGGAGATTCAATTGATATACTTCTTTTTTTCTATATTATTTTTATTTCAATTTTCTTTTTACAGATAGATATGATTATTTCAGATATCTGTTATGTGTTACATATATTAAAAGGATGTTTAAACAAAGATAGAGAATTTGTCCAGGAGAATTATTCCAAAGATTGAAACATTAAAATTAAAATTCAAGAAATCTATTTGAAATATTTTTCTATTAATTTAATTTTAAAATATCAATAATAATCGATCAAATCAATTGTAATATTTTATTATTTGTACAATATTTTGATTTGTTTGATGAAAGATTAACGAGAGATAAAAAATACACGATAGACAAATCGATAAAAGTCGTACGTATATGAATAATCGGGTAAATAGTAATAAACCATTAAAAACAGCTAAAACAAATAAATGCTCCCGTTCGATGACATTTAATATTTAATCGTGGATTAACGTGTCTTACCTCGCGTGATATATTTCAAATATCAAGATCTATTGCAATACTACATATTGCAATATGCGCAATATTATAAGTTTTCGAGATAATCATAATCAATATTGGAAGAGGATAAATAAACGTTGAGCATAAGGAAGGAAAATAAATAGAAATAGATCGAAAAATTTTTTTTCTTTTAAATTCGTGAAAATCTGACAGTTGAAATTAAAGAACTTTCAACAAAAATAAAATAAATTTCAAGAAATTATCGAAGAAAAATTTATTTTTGAATTTTATCAATTTTTTTTTTTTTTGCAGACATTGGTTTTCAAAGAAGTAAAATCCATTTTATTCGTTAAAATAGAGAAATTAAATGTTAGTAGGAACTTGTTTCTAGATTGACGTTAAAGAGTTCTAATTTAATTGCATTTGTAAGAGAAGAAATTTCAATCAGAATTAATTTTCAAAGTTTCTCAATGAAAGGAGAATAAATAAACGCCAACATATTCTTCCAGTTTAGAAGAGATAAAAGACAAATCGAAAGTCGTTTCATTTTAAATTATTTGTATAATTTATTGCTGGCTGTGAAAAATCTTGAAAAAACTACGAAATATAATAATATAAAATATCGTTTTCTAATACTATTGAACGATTTATTAATGGATTAATAAATGGTTGGATTAGTATATTTGAACTTTGGAAATCGAGTAACAAAGAAAATAGAATTTATATAAATTTTAAGAACAAAAAAAAAAAGATGAAGAGAAGGAAAAAAGAATGATAGAAATGAAGTACTTTTAAAGCAACACAAGTGTTACAAACGATATATAAAAAGACAAATCTTCTCTCTTGAATAATTCGTTCGAATAATTTGAAGGATAATCTTAATCAAAATCAGATTTAACATTTACATATAGCCTTAAATTTCATTTTCAAAAATAATGGATCTAACGAGTTGACCAAATATCGATTAAACGAAATCACAATGATATAGTGAAAAATTGTCCGTACACACACAGCATTTTTATCTCTCGACATTTCATTAACGAGCTTTCAATAAAATTTTTATTTATTATACGCGTATAAATTTTTCGCTTCCTTACTCTTATACTCTTATACTCTTCTGCTTTTTGTATCCTATCCCCTCCTAATAACGAAATGAACGCTTGAACTACTATTTAAATCGATTCGAATCGTTCGACAAATCAGTCTCGACTGATTCTTCCAACATGAGACAACCAATCCGGGATTGTTAAAATTTAATATCATTTAATATGTTCAATGAAGAACATTCAATGAAAATTTTTTGGAATTAAAAGTAAGAGAAACGATACAACGATATAAAAACGATATTAAAATAAATATTTTATTTTATTTAATAAAATAGTTTTTATTTGTTTATATTAAAATTCTGCATGCAGAGTAGGTTAAACTTTTAATATAGATATACACATACGTTTGGTTAATCGTACTTCTCCCAAATTAAATAGCATCTTCGTTGCTTTTCTCTTTTGTAAGTATTTCTTTTTTTAAGCTTTTCATGTAGAAACAATAACGAAAAATGTGAAAAATAATATTAGTTTTCCATTGCTCGATCCATTATATCTTTTAACTGTTATCTAATCGTGCATCTTCGCGCCTCTCATTTAAGGGTAGTTTTTTTCGATAGTTTTAATTGTTTCGAGCTTCTCTTTGATAATTAGTCGATACATCGAATTTATCTCGACTCCATTCACCTTTTATTTCCATTTTCCATTTTATAATTAACATTAAAGGTAACAATTTGTAAACAGGATAACATATAGAATAACACGTGAAAATTAATTATTGCAATTTTAATTTTTAGTTTAATTTTTTCTAATCATATTCATTGTCTAAATTTTTGGAATATCGATCTTAGGTGTAGACC